CGGTTAGAGACAAGGAAACCCAAAAACTTTCCTGATGCGACCCCGAATACGCATTTTTCTGGATTGAGTTTCATATTAAACTTTCGTAAAATTTGAAATGTGACAGATAAATGAGAGATGTGATCATGAGAATGCTGGGTTTTGACGAGCATATCGTCTATATATACCTCCATGGTTTTACCTAAATGTTCTTGGAACATTTTCGTAACCAACCTTTGATAGGTTGCTCCAGCATTTTTGAGACCAAAGGGCATTACTTTATAACAGTAAGTCCCCCTGTCTGTGATAAAAGAAGTTTTCTCTTCATCACTTGAATCCATTTTGATTTGGTTGTAACCTGAATATGCATCTAAAAACTTAGAAGTTCATGCCCTGCAGTTGCATCAATTAACTGATCTATATGCGGTAAAGGGAAAGAATCTTTTGGACAAGCGTTGTTAAGATCTGTATAATCTACACAAACTCGCCTCTTACCATTTTTCTTAGGTACTACAACTGTATTAGCTAACCAATTTGGATACTTTACCTCATGGATAGACCCAATTTTTAATAACTTTTGGACCTCATCTTGAATCACCTGGTTTTTGAAAGATCCTTGCTTTCTTTTCTTTTGCTTTATTGGTGTGAATGATGGGTCTTCATTTAGTTTGTGAGTCATCACATCCGGTGGTATTCCTGTCATATCAGCATGGGACCAAGCAAAACAATCCACGTTAGCTTTCAGAAATTCAATTAACATACCTCGCATGTCGGAGCTTAGATTGGCTCCAACATAAACCTTCCGTTCAGGCCATTGCTCAAATAATATCACAGCTTCGAGTTCTTCAATTGTTGTTTTGATATTTTCATTCTCTCCAGGCTCTTGAATTGTGTCAGGTCTCGAGTCTACATCTGTCCGTCCTTGCTCAGCTGAGGTTTGACCTTCAACTGTTTCCTGTAATTGCTATTTTTCTTTATTTACGGTGCTCGTATCTGTTACAGCGTTAATACTCCTGGCTGTCTGCTGATCCCCACGAATTTGGCAAATCCCCCACGGTGACAGGAATTTAATAACTTGATGTAATGTTGACGGGATAGCATCCATATCATGGATCCAAGGTCTCCCCTTAATCATATTGTAAGCCATTTCCATATCTACTACCTGAAATTTAGTTTCTTTAACAACACCTGCAGCAAAAGTTGTTAGAATTACCTCTCATTTTGTTACCACACTTGAATTGTCGAACCCGGACAAGGTATGCGCCTTCGGTATCATTTTGTCTTCAGCTTGCATTTCACGTAATACCCTTAGTAGTATAATATTTACGGAACTTCCTGGATCAATCAAAACTCGTTTTACATTAGTGTCATGTACAAGTAAAGATATTACCAGAGCGTCATTGTGGGGGGTCATCACTCCTTCGGTATCTGCATCATCGAAAGAAATATTTTTGTTTTCAAACACCTGCCGTACCCGTTTCCCGTGTGTAATCGTTACTTTAGAAACCTTGTTGGAATCCGTATATGTTACACCATGAATTATAACATTCACGGTTCTCTTGGGTGATGGAGGCTTTGGTGGCTCTTGCCTATTTTTCATATAGGCTTGCTTACCTTTCTCACTAAATAACTCAGTGAGATACCCTTGTTTCAACAGATGGTCCACTTCACTTTGTAAGAATCTACATTCTGAAGTCTTGTGCACGTGATCATTGTGGAATTCGCGCCAATGATCTGGATTGCGCCTATTTGGATTTGACCGCATCTCTTTTGGCCACCGTACCTTATCTCCCATGCTCCTCAAAACAGCTACGAGCTCGGAGGTAGTAACATTGAAATTATATCCACCAAATCTTGCCTTCAAACTTCTGTCATCATCTCGTGACTCTTGTCTGTTTCGGTCATATCTGAACCTTGATGAAGAACCAAATTCCCTGTTACTCGATTTTTGATCATATCGTTGATTATCCTACTTTGACCGTGAGTCTTTTCCTACAGGTCCCATATATGGATTGTATCTGTTTTTACCTGATCTTTTTTCGGTTTCTGACCTCCTGGAATTGCTCCTTTCTTCATGATGAAACTGAGGTACGGTATCTTCCTCAATTCGCAACTTCGTACTGTACCTGTTATAAACGTCATTCCACGTGGTTGCAGGGAACTCTCGAAGACTTTCTTTAAGTCTTCTCGTGGCTCCTGAACTTTTGTCATTTAAGTTGCTTGCAAAAGCTATTGCAGCCCAATTATCAGGTACACGGGGTAAAGTCATCCTTTCACGTTGGAATCTATCAACAAAATCTTTGAGCAACTCTGAGTCCCCTTGTTTAATTTTGAAAATGTCTTCCATTCTTTTTTCAACCTTTTGAGCTCCCGAGTGCGCTTTAATAAAAGAATCTGCAAGCTCAGCAAAATAGTTTATAGAATTTTCTGGTAAAAGAGAATACCAGGTTAATGCATCCTTGGTGAGTGTTTCTCCGAATTTCTTGACCAACACGGATTCAATTTCTTGCTTGGTCAAATCGTTGCCTTTTACACCTGTAGTAAATGCAGTTACATGATCACGTGGGTCTGCTGTGCCATCATATTTCGAGATGTCAGGCATTTTGAACTTTTTAGGGATTGGAAGGGGAGCAGCACTTGGTTTCCAAGGTTGTTGCGAGTATTTATCCACATCCACTCCTTTGATTACAGGGGGAACTCCAGGGATTTGCTCGATGCGCTCATTTTGTTCCTTAAGCTGTTTCTGCAATGTTAGTACTAAATTTTGCAAATGAGAATTATTTGAATTACCTGGTTCTCCTTCCTGTGGTTCACTGGGGGTTCCTCCATTTCCAGAATTAACAAGGCCAGAACGAGGATTCTCCAATGTATTGTTATTAGGCGTAGGTGTGGGTGGTGCAACAGATAATCGACTAACTAGAGCTTGAAGAGCTTTGCTAACCCGTGCATCAATTACTTTTTGTAAAGCTTCATCTGGCCCTTCAAAATGTTCAGATTGCTCTTGTTCATCAGCACGAGATTCAGGAGCAGGAGTAC